GAATCAAATCATTCCCGCAATGCACTGCGTGTACCACTTGCGAGAGAGGTGGGAATTAGTTATTGACAAAAGAGGCTTATAGTTTTAATCTAGTTCCATTTTCATTTAAGTACTCTCGCATTAGTGATAAAAACCAGTTTAAATACAACCTCGTTTGCGCCGATGCGCAGAAATCAAACAAAACTTGACCTTCAAACAAAACTAACTACTAAAAAATTCTTTGTTGTTTCAGTTGTCGTTACAAGTTATTAAAATCCCTAAGGTATCTGAATGTAGCATTAAACACAGGGGCATGTAGACCTAATTTTATAAGGTATTTCTTCCGCCTTCTAGCATGCTTTTATGGTGTAATGGTCAGCATACTCGGCGCGTATTCGAGAGGTTCGTGGTTCGAATCTTGAAATAACCTGATGTCTTTACTATGGCGGCCGAAGTAAAAAAAGGTGCTGAACGATGATTCTCCACCACCAGGATTTGGCGATCGGGTCCCCTAATCCCCAGTCACCCTTTAAAAGGGGGAATATATAAGGTATGTCTCCCGCCTTCTAGCATACCATCGTGGTGTAATGGTGAGCATACTCGGCGGGTATTCGAGAGATCTGTGGTTCGAGTCCGGGGAGGGCATTGCTTATTTTTCATATCTCCTGCTTCGAAATAACTTAATGTCTCTACAACTAGCCATTCGGCTTTCGGAATGTACAGTATTGCTAATTGATAATTTTTCTTCTACAAATATGTGTACATGCAGAGAACTTTTCAAGCTGTTGTTAACTAGTACAGTGAGAAAAAGAAACTAACGAGGACATTTTATCTTAGCTATCGATATTCGTAAAATTGAAACGAGTTATTCAGAAAAACAGATACGTGTTGGAAAATGTGATTACAGAATCTCTTCGTAAGGGACATTTCGCCATCTGCTCGACTCTCCTTCGGTATCATCTAGCCAGAAGACTTAGATACGTGCAAAATGTTATCAGCATTGTTAGATCATCTGAAAGGGGTGTGAGTGAGTGTCAAATGTTTGTTCCCCGCACACTCTCTGTCCGTAAACTCGATTTGAAGCCGTAGCCGTAATAGGATCACTCCAGCGAATGAAGCTAAATGTACACGCTTTACCGGACATGAGGAGGAAAGCTAACTTCGTTTACTTGTTGGCCGACAAGAACAGCAGCGGTCCAAGCTTATAATAATGGCGGGGAATCACAACTGCGTGCCTCGTGCCATTATGCATCTGGCTGTTGTTTGAATGGGCCTAATTGAATGGAAGTGAGAGCACTCTAAGGCGGGACCACGCTTTCCGTTTTTATTAAGAAAGGGACTGGTTGCAAAATTTGAGTGGATAACCTAGAAAGTAGAAAAGAAATCGGAGAACTTTACCTATGTTTTTATTCCCAAACCTACAGACTACAATTAGAACAATAGCTTTATCAAGGCGGCAATTTCCTTGATTATTTTCTTCAGCTTAAGGGGATTTTCTGTAATTTTGCGAATGGCAAATTTCGCAAAGAATTTTGAGTATATCTGTGAATTTTTCTTTTTTCTACTATCTTTAAAATTTTTCCTTAATTATAACATCCATTTTTGTTACTTTGTACTAGAATTCATGCAGAAAGACTTCTAGAGACATTAGGTATTTTGGAAGAAGAAGAGATAAAAAATATGCAACGCCTTTGCCGGGAATCTAACCACGGACCTCTGGAAGACCGGCCCAGTGTGCAGAACCACTACAAAACGAAGGCACGCTAGGAAAGGGAGAGAAATACCTTATATACTCCCAGTTTCAAATGGCGACTGGGGTTTTCAGGGGACCCAGTCGCCAAATCCTGAGTGTGGAGAAACCTCATCCAACACCCTTTTACTCCGGGTGCCACTGTAGAGACTTTGGGTTACTTGGAAAAACCGAAGAGATGAAAAATTAGCAATCGCCTTCGCTGGGAATCGAACCACGGACCTCTGGAATATCGACCTAGCGTGCAGAACCACTACACCACGAAGGCACGCTAGGAAGACTGGTTGGTTGTTTTTTTAAATGGCACAAAACGTCGAGGGCTATTATGCGCCAGACAAATGGTGAGTATATCAAGTATATCAAGTGAATTGATGAAATGAACGTGAAATGCTGATGAAGGAATGTCCAGGCAGAAATGAATGAAAAATGCTCTGGCAACAGGTAGAGTAGGATAAAATGTAGTTTAAATCATATGGTAAAAGGAGATGTCTTTTTAAAAAAAACTTATGAGGTTGATGTGAGACTAGGAAGTCGGGAGAAATACCTTATACACTTTGCATCCGATTCAAAAATCTAATCCAGAACTTAGAACCTTGTGTTCTTTTATCATAATAAATTTACCTATATTTTATTTCGTAACTACAAGAATTTTCTTTTCTTATGGTTCTTTCTTTCTTGTTCTTTCTCGCTGTCTTTCCAGTGCTAGGTGGTTGAAAAATGAATAAATGTTTAGCTAAATTGCGTAATGGATGCCGTGACTACACCGTGAAATTTGCTATTTTTTCCGCAATATGTATGCTATCTTAATTATGTTTCATAACTTGTAGGGTTCCCTTAGTTAAATTAAACAACTATTCAAAATTTTGGTACCTTTTCTGAACTCCTCAACTTCCTTTCGCATTTCCTCGCCAGGATGCAACCAGCACTACTCTTTAGTCTTTGAACTGATTGTGTAACGATTCTTAAGTTCCATCCCAAATTGTCGGTGTTATTATAAAACCCGAAGTACGTGCCTTTCTGTTCAGAGTTGATAATAATAAAGGGATATTTTGACCCTTCTCCTGTGTTGTTATCATTTACGCCTGTGCCGTTAAGCCACTAGGTTCCTTAGTAGGATCTCGTACAGTTCATGTGGCCGAAGAGAACACGATCCTACAAAATTATGATTTTTCGAAGTTGTTTTGGGCAATTTCTAACTGATGTGTCTATAAACAAAAGCTTATACAAATAAATGAAATTAAATATTTATTAAAACGTATTCTTATGTGAAATCGCAATTATTATGTAAAAAACCTGCTATAAAATGCAAATGTAGTAAGTTAAACAGGGCATTTGTGAGTGGAAGAGCAATTTGACTTTTTCCCAAATAACATTTTAGGATTTTTATGTATTTTAATAATAAAATAATCACATTTTAGGAAAGAAAAATTTTGCTCACTAGAACAAGCTACTCGTACTCTTAGAGCAAACACTTTGCTTCAGATAAGAGAAGATGAAGTTATGAAACAGGTATAATTTTATGTTCCCACCGAATGAAATCTAATCACATTTGATTATATATCTTTTTTTTTGTTAATAAAAATAATAATAGTTTAATAACAAAAGATTTTCCTAAGTAATAGTAAACGCTTTACTTTTTATAAGCAAATTCTGTTGATTTTTCATATTATCATGAAAATCACAGCATCACATGCGAAGTTGTTAACGAATTCTTTATTTTTCAGATTGTGGCATTAATAGGAATTTGAGGTGAAATACTTGTTTCGATTTAATTAATCTCGAGTATTAATACAGTTAATTATATTCCAGCATTAATACATTCGTAAGTAGATTATGTAATGTATTAAAACTGGAGTATACTGCAATAGTTATACTCCAGTATTAATACATTCGTAAAAAATAAGCGTGTAAAGTAAAATTAAATTTAGAAACAAAAATAACAAACAACAAATGATATATTCTTTAAAGCAGTGGTTCTTAACCTTTTTGAGCCGCGACCCAAATTTGAAAAAAATGTTTATGTCGCGACCCCAAAAAAGTCAATATTTTTTCATTGCTTTATTTTAGAGCATATTTGTAAAAACCTTTAATCTTACAATGATGACTTATTTAACTTACAAATTTTTTACTTTTTTTATAATAATAAAGTTAAACAAAAGTACTTTTGGATCCAAGAAAAATTTAATAAATAATCAAGTGTTTTTAATATTTTTATTGACCAAACTAAATAAATTTAAAACTTTTTAAAAATAATTGAAATTTAATCTTATAATAACATTTTATACGCTTTTAACGAGAACCTTGTGCTTGAATACATTTTGAAAGATCTGCAAACCTGGGTTGAATGCTTGTCAAGGAGCACCTTAAATCTATTTCTGGATTTAACTTGTTCCGGTGGTTGTTTTTGATTACACAGAGAGCCGAAAAACCAGCCTCACACATATATGTTGTTGAAAAGGGCAATAATACTTTTAGGGCTTCTTTAACAATTATTGACTTTTCGGTTTTTAGATTTAACCAGAAAGCACATTAAGATTGAGTGTTTTTGTAAAAATTGTATAGAAGTGCTTGGTCACTTTGAATTTCTATTAATTATTCTTGAAATTGATTAATATTAACAAATTCCTCATGCAAATCACTTACGTCAAAATCAAATGGCATTCGAACCAAATTATATTTAAAAACATCGTCTGCAGGAAAATACCGATCAAAGTCTGCTATTAGTTTTCTAAATGATTGATAATAATTTTCTGTATTTGAAAATCTGTGATATTAATATTCTTGTCTTCAACAAGTAAATTAAGAGTCGGAAATGAAGCAAGTTTCTTTACTTCAACCTTATTTCTCCATAATTTGAGTTTATTGTTTATTTTTAAAACATGTAATTTTTTCAGTTAATTCAATAATAGTATGATTACGTCCTTGCATAGACGTATTTAGATTATTTATTTCAAACAAAATATCTGCCAAATAAGCAACTTGAGTAATCCACTTCAACTCGGAGAATTTAGATGCTAATGGGTGTTTCTTTTTCTCTCAAAAAAAATTCGACTTCTGTCCGCAATGATAATATTCTTTGAACAACTTTGCCCCGGGACAGCCATCTAACTTCACAGTAATATAATAAATGTTCGTATTCTGCACCAAATTCTGAACACAGTTCGCGGAAAATTCTACAGTTAAGAGCTCTTGATTTTATAAAATTGACTACCGTAACAATTTCATTCAAAACGATACTTAATTCGGGCGATAAATTTTTTGAAGCAAGATTTTATCTATGTAAAAAACAATGAACCGATAAAATTTGTGAATTCATTTGTTTTGCTCTTGTCGAAAAACCCTTTTGAGATGCTGTCATGGCAGCTGCACCGTCGGTGCAAATACTGAAACACTGATTCCAATTTAATCCTTCTTCTTTAAAAAACGAATCGACAATGAGAAATATATCTTCACCTCTAGTTTTTGTTGACATTGATTTGCAAAATAAAAAATCCTCCTGTATATCTGTTAACCCTGGATACCGCACGTAAACCATTAGTTGAGCATCGTTACTTACATCTGTCGTTTCATCCAGTTGAATACTAAATAAACCAGCAATTTTTATAGCATAAATAAGTTGATTCTTAATATCAAACGACATATCATTAATTCGTAAACGAATTGTATCATTTGATAATGGTACCTTTTGTAATTTCTTTGAAATTTCATCTCCGCACATGATACGTGCCATGTCAATGGCAGCAGGTTTTATAAGTTTTTCAGCAATATTATGGGGTTTCTTTTGCCTTGTAATATGCCAAGCCACATAAAAAGAAGCAAGTGTAGCTTGTTTGGTAGAAATTAGAAAACTATTACTACTTGGTGCATCTAAACGCTGTCTTTTTAAATCGGTTCTTTTCTTTTCGAAAAAAAGTACGATCTTTTCCCTCAAAGGAAAAATAGTTATGTTTTGCATCAAAATGTCTTTTAAGTTTGTTCGGTTTCATCGATTTATTACTTAGTATTTCACTGCACAAGACGCATTGCGGCTTGTTCATTTCTCCATCATAAATGCAAGTAAACCCTAATTCTAAAAATGCTTCTTTGTATTCACGTTTTGCCATTTTAGAGTGATTACAATTTTACAATACGCACTGCAGCTTGATCACTCCACTTTTAATAAACAGACAAAAATTGTTTCTAAAATTCTTGTATTCACGTTTCATGATTATTACACATTCCACTGTTATTCACAACATAATACACAGAAACGAGTTTTTGACAAAGAACTTGCAGCGGAGTGCAACTTTTTTACGTAAATATCATTTAATATGCAAACAGAAATTAACAGAATACAATTTTCCGTATTACTTCTTTATTCACACGAGTTAAAAATTGATAATATCTGCTTACATGTTTACAACCAACGGAAATTCCCGGTTTCTTAAAAGTCGAAGTAAAAGTAGCTGATTGAAAGCGCTTTTAATTTTACCAAAAGGTGTCACTACCGGAGAATGACTATGTTACCTACAACCTTATTGTGTCTGCGCGCACGTAACGTTAAAGCAATGGCGTGAGTATTACCAACACCTCATAGAAGAAAGCTATAAGACAGAAATTGGATGTCACTTCTAGAAGGCCATTCGCGAAGAGCGGTAAAACCAATGCATTGTTTTAGAGAATAACTTGTATTAGAAAAAAAACTCTTCTATTAGGTGTTGGTATTACTTATTTTTGTATATTAAAAGTTTTTTTTAATTTGACTTAGCTCGACCCAAAAAATATGCTTCGCGACCCAATTTTGGGTCGCGACCCATAGGTTAAGAACCGCTGCTTTAAAGTGATCAAACCGTAAAAACATGCCAGAATATATCCCATAATCCCACTTTACTCAGAAATAACGTTCATAACAACATAAGCATTATGCATCTTGAAATAGGAGTAAAAATGTACAGCTTTCATTTTTATAAGCTATTTATATTATTTTATTTTTAGCCCAGAAGGGATATTAATTTCGTTTTGGCATTTTGCCCTATAAATGCCAGTTCATATTTCAGATTGTTGCCACCAAATATTAGAGCCCTACATTATATTTAAAGGAATTAAGTAAAGAAAAATCTGCATGAATGTATGTATGTTTCTCTCGCTGTGAGAAAGCAAACCGTACCTAGACATATCAAATTTTGAATAACATAGTCCTCCATTCGAATATGGGCATATGGGAGCCCAAATTTGGAATTTGTTTTATCATCTACTTCGTATTTTGTGAAAAATTAAAGAATTTTTGATTAACAAACTCAACGATTTCGAAGCGAGCCATGGCAACACTGTAAGAAAAAGAAACATTTTTATCTCCAGCGCGCGAGATTGTGTATCGTAAATTCTAAAGGTACGCTCTTTTAAGTATTTTGTGATTTTGCTGAATTGGCTAATTTTATGGCCTAAGTGCGAAGAACATGATATTAATAAGTAAAGGTTACATATAAAACGTTAAGAAACGTCCCTTTGAGAGTAATATATAATCTGAAATCTTTCAGATTTTTTTCGTGATATAAAATCTAAACATAAATCACCACAAAACATCATATGATGCGGATATTAAAGTAAAATGAGATAGTTAATTCAATCGTCTGTGTTATAATTTTAACGAGCGTTTTTGTTGCAGCTGAACATATGAGACACTTTTTTTCTACAAAGAGAAATTTTACAATATTTTTAAAGAAAAGTAGCATTATTTTTCGTTACAACATGAAACTTAAACATATTTAAAAAAAAAAAAAAAAGTGTTCAGATTTTATATTACGCCCAAAGGGTTGTATTTTAGCATTTTATGTGTTACCTTTGTTTAGTAAATATCATGTCCTTCGCACTTAAACCATAAAACTCATTTCAACAGCCAGTGTCACAGAATAATTCAGAAAGAGCACATCTTTAGAATTTTCAATACATGGTATCGCGTGCTGGAAATAAAAATGCTTTTTTTTCCGTACAGTGTTGCCATTCCTCGCTTTGAAATCGTAGAGTTTGTTAATCAAAAATTCTTTAATGTTTGACAAAATATGAAGTAGATAATGAAACAAATTCCAAATTGGGGCTTTCAGATGCCCATATTCGGGTGGAGGATGACGTTATTCAAAGTTCGATGTCTTTAGGTACCGTCTAATATTGGGTAGCAACAGTTTGAAAAGTGAACCGACGCAAAATGCCAAAGCAAAATTAATAGCCCCTTCTGGGATAAAAATATATATTTCTGGAGATAAAAATGGATAAGAATTGAACAGAGATTGCAACCGAGTGGAAGCAGAGAACTACTTTGGAGTTAGTCCCTTCCTCGATTCACATCCCTCCGCCAATCAACTTAAATTCACTCCCCGAACTCCATGCACATACAGAGAGGCTCGTCACTGATATCACGATTGACTGCATTCAGCAATGCCGGTCCCTCTGCGCGTTCGCTGCGCAATTAGTCCACCATTTCTCCTCTACGGCAACAAAACAGTTGTTCTTGTGAACTCCTCATATTTTTTCCCCGCCTACAAGGAAATGTTCCTCGTTTCATTATTCATAAGGAAAATTACTGCCTTTGCTTTCTATGGGTGGTGTATGTTCATGCTTTCTTCTATACACCACCCATAAAAACTGAACTAAGTTCCGAATGTATATCGATCACAAAGGATAGACAGATCTAATTTGCGTCACAATTTTCTGAGTTAATCGCATTTAAATTACTCACTCTGTTAAATCAGTTTTTCATCATAACTGAATTAGGTTCTTAAATTTCGTCCCTGCAATTTTCTTTCTTTTAATTACAAAAATCTCTGAACTATTGCCCAGTTAAATGAGAAAGGAACGCGCAGATTTATTCATGAACGATAAATTACTGTTATATTCTCTGCTTCTGATATATTCAGAATCATTCTACTTTAAACAAAACAAACTACAGTAGAACTCCAATTATCCGAATCAATTCTGACTGGACCCCATTCGGATAATCAAAAATTCGGATAATTGGATATTTTCCCGAAGAAAGGTATACGAACACTAATTAATTACTGTATGCACTCTATGTTGAAAATGGAAGAAAAAAAAAAATTTTTAAAGGAAAAAAAAAAAAAAAAAAAAAAAAAAAAGGTTTTAATTAATTAAAATGAATTGCTTTAAAGGATGAACAACCAAACTTCTGAGCTAAGATCTTAGCTTTTTCACAAAGAATCGGACCAAAAATTGTTTTCCCATAGAATGTTACTGTAAAAACCACTTGAAATGACAATCAAAATCGTAAAAACAACCTTGTATTTAGCGTATGTATATTGAAACACTCAATCGATTTCGAGGGCAGCTAAAGGTCCCTCCTCATCAGGAGAAAAAAATACCTAGAAAAAAGAAAAATAAAGGGGAAGGAGTTGATTGAGTGTTTCAAAGGAAATACATATAGGGAAATAAGGACCGTACGACAATTGAAGTAAAATTAAAGAGCGACTCAATTCTACTCGAAGAAGAAAGAAAGGAAACTCGGGAGAGAAGCTGAAGTTGGCTTCGATAGTTTACAATATTATCACTAGAACCTAGTGAACTACTAAGTTAACAGTTAGTTAATAGATAAAAGTGAGAATCCAATCAATTTTTACAAAAGTTTTGGATTGGAGACTATGCCTTTTTTCCTTTCCAAATGGAAGTATTCTATTGCATAATAAAAAAATCTGATGTGTACACCCCATGACTTTTCGTTTCCGTTCTTCGCGCTATGTAAATTTTAACATAATGTTCCTCAAACGCTTAGTTAATAGATAAGAGGGAGAAACATCACAATTTTTTCATTTGACAGCGGTCGGTACTATTATTTGCGCACAATAAAAAGCAAAAGTGTCACTTAAAGAAAAAATTAAAGAATAAGAAAGATATTCGTGATACTCTGCGAGAGAGGGGTGATGAAACGATAAAAAGCCATATCAGCTAAACGCCACGAAAACCAAAGAGACACAAAACGCAATTTCGACGACAAGTCTATCGGAAGACGACGCCTACTTGTTCTATTTTGTGTAAGGAGGTTCACTCGTGCGCGTTTTGTAGGTGATTTCAAATGTTAATCGCCATGTGGCGTGCGCAACGAAGATTTAGAAGTATCAGAATTAATTGAAATATGAATAAAACATTTTCGCCGAAGTTACGGAAACTGTGATTGGCAGCATTAATTGCGGCCGAAAAAATCAAACAGCCTTTTCGCTGTCTTCACACGGCAGAGCTGCAGAACTGATAGCTGACGTTTTATTCCCGGTGTCACGCATCCAAAAGACTCGAGAAGGTGTTCACCAAAAATGTCGTAAAGTTTCGGATAATTATTTTATACGACGCCATTAAGCGGATTAAAAGAAACCTGCAAGTGTGGCTTCACTCACCAGGGTTAGTTTCATTTTCGGTTAATGCATTTTTGGTCATATATTATCTTGTGACATGCTTCTGTTCTAAACATAATTAACTCAATTTTCATTTACTTTAATTTATAAGAAAACAGTACTGTATCAGTAAACTTATGAAAATGAAAAAGGGAAAAGTAAAGAATAAAATTTAAGAAGCAAAATGGGAAAATAATAACGTGTTCTTACTACAGAATCAAATATTAGAATATTGTTCTTGGAAACACTTTTAGCTGTTTATGATCTTTCTTGTTTCAAAGTTTGGAACGAATACACATCATTTTCAGGCAATTATCTTTTCTGAGAGCATGAATATAAATCATTCCAAATTGTGAAATATTTATTAAGGAAATTATAAATTTCTAATCCCATGAAAACAGCTAAGCTCATAAAAAGAGGTATTAACAGATAATGAGATTTTTATTCTTTACTGTGCTGGTATAACATAAAATTCAGCCACATTAATTATTTTGAACGAAAAGGAAAGCATGATGAGAATAATTGTGCTATTTAAGGACAATATTAACAGTAAAATTAAAAAGTATTTCTTGTGGAGAGTGTT